ATCTATACTCATAATTCTCTCCAACTTACGAGTGATATGAGATGAACCTCTTGACTCCTGTTATGACTGAGAATTTTGTTTGTCCTGTCAAAGCGCGAGTATTGCAACAGTCTAGTATCAGCAAATGTTCAATGTTATACCCTGATATGCTTATAAGATGCGTTTCAGTTTTGCGTAGAAGGATGTACTTCTAAGCACACGCTTTGTATAATGCATCATCTTTACTTACGCTTCAATTTGGGTTGCGCTATTGCTAATTATGTATTTTGTGCGTGTACGTCTGCGTGTTATATGCAATGTAGCGTGTTATATGCTATATATGCAACGTATCTGAAATTGTTAATGTCTCTTTTTCAAGATGTCTGATGCACATCATCTGAAAATACTGCTGCAGGTTGTTCTCTGATTAAACCCAAACGTATGGACTGCACGTATTTTCCTGAATTTGTATGGTGCGGATAACAGGGAAGATCTATTTCTTATTTGTTGTCTAACCTTTTCAATTATTGCTGCCAGCATCCGCCACCAGTATTTTTTGCATTATGTACATAGCGTCTAATGGTTTTTTGAGCTCTAACACAAACGCTACTACTGAACAAAAGCTGGGTGCATGATTATATTATTAATCTCTTATAACTCTATCAAAGTACAGGGAAAGTGTAAAAGGAAACATTTGCGTTATAAGAGGTAAAAGAGGTTGATTTATATGCTCAAGCAAAAAGTTAATGTGATAATAGGAGAGAGAATTCCTACTAGAACAACTGAGAGAGATAATTCCTTCTTTTATAATAAAACAACTATACTATAATTAATGTAAGAATAATTTTTAGAGATAGTATGAGACTAAGCAATCTTTACTATAAAATCCATAAAATCGTGTCATTGCCTATAATATCGGTAAGAACATAAAGGTAAGGGTATTTATTTATAAACTCAAAGGTCTATCCTGATTTCCTTTTAAACCCACCCACTTCCTATATTGAATTATTTTTTGGCTTATTTGCATATGTACCTCTTACATCATGGGTATTTGTAAAAATATCACCAAATCTTGGTATTTGCAACGCTACCCCTAAAATCAACAAATCATCAACCCGGTGCTGAAAATTTGACTATTTTATTGATAATATTTAGATTGCAATTACAAATTAGCTTATCAAAGTTGTTGAGCAATTGCTTTAAGGGTAATTTTTTTCAAATTGATGATTTGAGGGGTAATTTTGCAAACACTGGTATTTCAAAAGTATTTTTCATAAATACCATGATTTAAGGGGTACAGTGTTGGGGCTCCGAGGACAAACACAAACGCTGAGAGAGAAGGCCAAACACAATCAAAATAACGGCACAAACACAAACAAACGAATTTTACGTGGTTCGGCAAGTTGTCTATGTCCACGGGGGCAAGAAGAGAATGTGTTTTCACTAATAGAGAATGAGAGTACAAATAGAGATTATAAATTCACTCAAAATCTCTCAAACAAACCTCTCAAATATCTTAAACAAAACCCTAACCAAATTGCTCAGAAAACTCTCTTTTCTGTGCACAAAACAAACCCCTTTTTTAATTCCCAAAACCCCTAAAATCGTGTTAGTATTTATACCAAATACAAATCCCAATCAGAACAGAAAACCGCAATCAGGCCCAAAACCGACTGGCGGTCGATTGCCGAAATCGTCACGGTCAACCGATCAGAAAGATAGAAACCAAAATCGATTACAGGGTTTTGGCGGTCGACCATGGCGGTCGACCGGTCAGAGTGCAGAAACACACCCTGTACTCGTGCACGTTTTCGGTCGACCGCACATGTTGCCGCGGTCGACCGGATAACACTCAGACTGTTTCCTGCTTCGTTTTTCCTGAACTTCGTCGTTGTTTTCTACGTTTCTACAATTCTCCACCTCGGTGAAGTTTTTCCAAAACTGAACCGACACTAATACCAACCAAACGTCCCACTTGTTGCATCCAGTACGAAGTGGAAACAATCCACGACAACGGACTCAATCCACAATAAGTCGAGAACCCAAATGAGAAAGCGAACAAACTCCAAAATATCGGTATCAACTCATCAAACTGGCTGTATCAAAATGACTGCCTATGTATCCTCTTGCCCAAGGAATCAAGCCTCACGTAGTTTATCCAAATGACCTCAAACAATCTCAATTAACTAGAAGAATTCTCAATCCTTCACCAACCTTTTGATAATCAACACTAACCAATCTGCAGCTGATCACGTCCCTGTTGGTCTCAAAGTGAAAAGATAAACTCTCTTCCAAACTTGCATCTCTCCACATCAAATCTGTCTTAGAGATCAACTCCTCAATCCTATATGTAGAAGAAACACAATTACCAAACACCTCCAACTAAGGTGAACCAACGGCCATAGCCAAATCCGAATTGTGTCTATCTGTTGCACTCGAATCAACAAAATTATCATCTGTATCAACACCAACATGATCCTCAATCTGTGTCACCTTAACTGGAATCCAAAACGATACAGAATGCTCTGGAGAACGTGGAGTAATCTCCACCCAACGTGAAGTAGCATCACTCTCCACCCGCGACGATATTCTAATGATCTGTCCAACACACTCCATCTGCTGAAAGTCAAATGTGACAATATTGCTCAGAACAATATCAGAATCTCATAATTGATAACCAAACACGCCTCTGAATCCCAAATATGCACTCGGATCAAATTTCATATCCTTGAAGTGACAATATGTTGGGCATCCAAATATCCAAAGCAACCCAAAATTTGAAGCAGCTCCACCAGATCCAAATATTAGGTTCTAGGATTACTTTGTAAATTAATAAAATTCCAGGGGTGTTTTTTAAGTTTTAGGGTTCTTTTCTTCTATTATGTTTTTAATTTTTGGTGTTTTATTAAATTGGGGAATTTTCTATAAAGTTTTTAAATGTTTGTGATCTTGGATTTTTCTACAATTTTTTTAAAATCTAGTTTTTTCTATAAATTTTATAAAATCTAGGATTTTTTGCGAACTTTTTAATATCTAGTCTTTTGGGTTTAGGAAGTTTTGTGAATTTTTTCACAAAATATAAAAAATCTGAAAGTATTTTGGTTATTTCTACCGATTTTACAAGTTGATTTTTTTTTGTAAAGCCTTAAAATTATGGAAGTTCTTTGAGTATTTCTACAAGTTGGGTAGGGAAGGCAATATGTGCCCATGCCCATTTACCCACCTAGCCCGCCCATCATTTGACCCGCCCAAAGCCCACCCATTTAGTTAAATGGGTCTAAATGGGCGGGTATCTATAGAAAAGAGATTAAACAGGCACTTAATGGGCGGGCATCGCGCCCGCCTTAAACCCGCCCGCCTTAAACCCGCGTTCTCTCTCTCGTTCTCTCGTCTCTCATTCTCTCTCTCATCTTACAGAAACCCTAATCCCTTTCTTCGTCCTCTCTCTCTCTCTCTCTCTCTCTCTCTCTCTCACTTTGATTAGGTCGAATTTGTCAATTCATTTTAGGGTTTTTTTCTATTTTTGATTTGTCAAAAGAATTAGGGACTATTTGATTTAGATCATTGTTCTAATCACCATATTTTGGGCGGCTGGAATTAGTGAAATGAAGGTGAAATTTTGTTGTTAATTTTGGTTAATTCATCTAACCCAATAAAAATTTTAATTTTGTTGTTAGATTTCATTTTAAAGTGTGGCATTCATTGCATTATCTGTCCAATTTTAATTTTTTTCTTCTATTTTGGAGAATAGATCATTGCATCTTTGTTGTTGCAAGTAGATGCTTTATCATTGAATCAATTATATATCAATAAAGCATTGTAATTTGGCGTGTGCAGTTATCTAGAATGCAATTAGAGAAACCATTTGATTTGCTTTATGAACTTTCTTTCCCTGCATCAAGTGGCTTTGCATTGAACGTCTTCATAATAACAGAATGAATTAGTCCCTTGATAAGTGAGCATGAAGTTCCTGAAAGCTAACTGTGTTTATGCGTGCCCTGAGATGTGAGTACGCATGGATAAACACATTTATGTAGCTCAAAGAGCATGTGTATGTTTGATATAGATATCTTGGTAGAGAGAATCAGTACCAGAGTTGTTGCACACAAGAATTTTCTACATATGCACATGTGTCGAATTTGATATGCTACATATGCACATGTGTCGAATTTGATCAAAGAGATAATTTTACCCTAAGTCCCCTAATTTTTGTAGAGGACGGAAAGCAAGTTGTAAGTGTTTTTGACCTCAGGGCCAAATATGTTACCCGACCGTTAAATTGATCAGGCTGTTAGGGAATATCTCATATTCTGTGGGATATTCTCTAATCAGGATCAGGCGTTACGGAGAAATCTGAGGAGAACGCGGATAGCGGAGAAAAAACAGGCGGCTATTTGGGGACGGAGAAAGAGGTAGAAAGCCTATATATAGAGAGGATTACCTCACCTCTGAATCATCTCAACAGAAAAAATCTCTATCGGAGTCCCCAAAATCAATCTTTCTCTCGTTCTTTCACAAGTGCCAAGGACTCAGTTTTTTTTGGGGCTCCTCTCTCTGATCAATTCAAGTCAAAGCTTCAGTCCTTTGGTGTTCAGGAACAAGGTAATATGTGTAATCATATCAAATTGGAATTTGGACTTGGCAAACATGATGAAATATTTTTTAGAGTGTACAAATTTCTACTTTAAGATTTTTATTGATGTAACATTTGTTGCTGAGGATTTTGATTCCTGTTCAGCCTTATGCTTTTGTTTTCCGCTGGAAGTAGTATATAGTGAGAATAAGTGCATGGTTAGTTGGCATTTCATTCTGTTCATTATAGTGCAAAATCATATATTAAATACTATTTTCAAGACACCAGATCATCTGATTACAGTAACATATATTTAAACTATACTTTGATGTTTTTGGCAGGAAAAGCTTTGTGTGTGGGTGCGTGTGCGTGCATGCATGCCTGTGTGTGTGCTTGGTGGGGGGTGGGATTGGGGTTCCCTCGCATCACTGGTCCTTTATATATACATGCATATTTTGACAGTTTCCTCTAGGTTTCTGATCTTCACTGTTTTATTACAATAGAGTGAAGAATGGCAAAGAATTTCCTCTTAGAATTGAAGTAATCTTTCCATTATGTTGTTGTTTTGTCCGTACTCAATTATGATTATGTTGTTGTTTTTCTTGGACTTGACATGATTATCTAGTGGTTTGTACAGTTCCCCTTCTAAATCACTAAATCGATTCTCTTTGTATCTTATACTTGATGGCGCAAATGAACTCTGGCAGGTTATACTGCAGTCTGGACAGTTTAAAGGAGAATTGAGATTTTGGTACGTATTGTTCTATATTTATTATTTTTAATAAAGACAAATATTATCTCATTGAGTAAAAGAATCATGAATGTTCTCATTTTTCGGATATAACTGCAAAGTAAGAAACTTATAGGTGAATGTGGTCGTGCATCGAGGGGAAACAAACTCACACCTGATCAAGTACAACACATATAGATGTTACATTTGTTACCGGTGATCTTTTGTTTCACATTCAACATTTTAAGTATAAACTGAAGTTGTTCAATATTTGGAGGAATTGTCAGTGCTACAAGTGGTTTTTTCACCTTCATGAGATTCCTACGTGTTACAAGTGGTTTTCACCTCCATGAGATTCCTGTAAGACGACTTGCTGTTGGTGCAACACTCAGAGCAGCTACACCTTACCAAAAGGCTTTTTTTTCTTTTTTTCTATTTGAACTAAAAGACTAGAAAGATACTCAAAAGATACTCAAAAGACTAGAAAAGTTTTTGTAGAAAAAACTGATATGAGAGCAAAAAGAATGGCTCGGAAAGCAGGTGCCTTGGTATGTTAGTATGAAAGTTAATGATTTACCATGAGTTCTTTTTTTCTTTTGTTTGACAACATACTAGGCCATGGGAGATATTTAATTCTTTTCAGTTTATTGCCACTTATTTATGACTTCATGAACTTTAATTATGGAATAATTCAAGTTATCATTTGTTTTCTTTAAGGTTTGCTGGAGCTGCACATGCTACTGATTTTGGCCCTTGTGTGCTATTATATAGGTCATTCTTTTGTGTGAGTTTTTTCAAAAATTATTTTATGGCAGGTAATTTTCGTTGTTGATGCCAGTGGCAGTATGACATTAAACCGTATGCAAAATGCTAAAGGTGCAGCATTGAAACTATTGGCAGAAAGCTATACTAGAAGAGATCAGGTGAGTGGGGGAGCCTTTCCCGCCGAACGGCGTGAAGTTGATCAGGTTGAACTTCGCCGGATACGGGATCGAATCCCACTCTCTCGGGTAAGGACACGGAATACCGGTCTTCTTCACCTCTCGAGCAGACATCAGGGCTTCAATTTTTCTTTCGAGCTCCTTTATCTTTTTGGCCTCACCCATATCCTGTTTTGGATAAGTTTTGAGAGGAAGTACCGTGTTTTATTACAATTGAGATAATGCATTATGCATATAATAATGAAGAGGGAAATAGAATGAGAGGAAAGACTACAAGGAGAAAGTCTATGTAGTTTCCCATGGTAGAGCGCTGTTTATTTCCATGTTTGTATATACGATATGTATTTGTTTATGTGTTACAGTAGAATCTAGTCATTCACAATATCTAGTTCCGAAACCTATCCAGATTTCACAATATCTTATACTGAAAATTAGGAACATTATGCTAGTTGGAACTTGGGAGTCCAATTTCCTTCATATCTTATGCTAGTTGGGTAAACACATCCGAGAATAAAACCCAAAAAAAATCAGCAGCAACCAAGAGGAAAAAACTATGTAGCAAAAGGATTATGAGTATCTGAAACTCTTTTTATTATGTTGTGCCTCTAGACGTTGTATCGTCAGAGGCGAGCGCGGAATGAGAATCCGAGAACTCATCATCGGAATGGACTCCTCCATGGACTCCATGGTTGTTGTTATATCCGACGGCTTCTAGTTGAAGCTGAGCTATTCCCGAATCGACCCTGCTTCCCAAAGAGAAATTAGGGTCGGAACCACCTGAAATGATTGGGGATTTTCCCTTGTTGACCATGTTGATGGTAACTTCTAGGGGTTCATCCTCTCGAGCAACCGATCCTCTTTGGTAGGAACGCCTTGATTTGGGCTTTGTCGTTCCATCGGAGATTTTCTCGGATATCGAGACCCTCTGTGGAGCGGTCTTGGGGCAGTTACATGTTGATAATACTGCCCTGATGAATTTGGTACACGGACAGTGAGAATCCGCTTCCCGGGTGTTTCTTTATCTTTGTTTATGTTCCTATCTTTGTTAGTATTTTATCAAAAGCCCCAACAAGTTTGCAAAAAGCCCACAATAGTTTACAAAAAGCCCCCTAAAAGTTTATAAAAAACACCCCAAAAGTATTATGTACATATAACCACTATAGTTAAATGGGCAATTGGGCGGCCCGTTTATTAAATGGGCGGGCAAAAGCCCGCCCATTTAGAAAATATTAAATGGGTCATAAATGGGTAAATGGGCAAAACATGCCCGCCCATTTATGGCCCGCCCATTTAACACCCAAACCCACCCATTTCGATTTGTTAGGAGGTCGTGTACGACCCCCAGTCTGGATGTTGGCTTGAAACTCCTTCAGCGATCTCCAGCTCCCTTTGACAAGTGCTTTTCCTCGATTCTCGGGTAGAGCACCGATACGATCCTTCGGAGGATTCTTGAGCTCGGGGAAATCCACGTTGCGGTGGGGCTTTACCGGAAGCTCGGGATCTGAAATTGACGAAGGTTGGAGAGCGATATTACCTGCTTTTACCTTAGGCGTTGATTTGGCCTAAATGGGCAAAACATGCCCGCCCATTTATGGCCCGCCCATTTAACACCCAAACCCACCCATTTAACATCTAACTTCTATGGATTTAAGATATTTTCTAGCTTAGTTAATGACACATAATTAACATTTGTCTCTGTAATTATGAATTTAGGAGATAAGAATATTTCATGATATCATCTAATTATCTTTCTATTTGTTTTATTAAATATAAAGAAACAAATGGCAGGATAAAGAGTTCTTTTTTTCACTTGTTAGGTACAAAATTCTTTAGATATTTGTAATTTAAATCTTTATACGTGTTCTCTAGTGAATAGATTTTTCTATAGCATGTTTCTTGGTAAAGATATTTTAATTAATTAGAACATAATCCCAAATGAAATCATATTAAAGATGTTTCTATTAATTAGGATAAGCTGAAATGTAAGAAATTCTTTTGGGTTTTTATGAAAATTCTATTAAAAAATTAGGATTTTATATAGATTTTGTAGCATCTAGGATTTTTCTACAAAATTTTCAATAGTTTGAACTCTTTTGGGTTTCAGTGCAAAATATACATTTTAAATCTTTACCTATTTTCTCTAGTAAATAAATTTTACAAGTTCTGAGATTTTTTATTCTGTAATTTTTGGAAGAGTGGCTGAATATGGAGATTGAACAATTATCTATGACTTAATATAATTTTTAACATATTTAAATTAAATATGAGCTTATATACGTATTAATTAGGATAAGATATGATAATTGAAGCTTATACATATTAATTAAAATTAATCAGGATATGAGATATGATAATGTAATATTAAAAGGGTTAGGGGTATTTTTGTCCATAAAAAGATTTTCTTCAACTCGTACTTTTAAAAGGAAAAGTATGATATGATATAGTTTTTTTTAAACAAGGATGTTTTAGTCATTATATGTTTTAAATTAATAAAGTCAGGGTGTTATTTGAGAAAGCTATAGATGTTATGGGGTTTTGTGGGACACCGCCTAGTTGAAGGGGGTTAGGTCATATTTTAAACGTTGAGGGGGGTTATCTACAATTCTTCCAAAATTGAGGGATGTTTTCCGAAGTTAAAATAGTTGAGGGGGTTTGCTTACACAACCCCCATAGTTGAGGTGGTTGTCTAAAATGAACCCTAAATGAAAAATTCGGACCGAATAAAACCCAGTGAGACCTCTCCCCCCTTCAAAAAATCAAACAGCGAAGATCGGAAAGCAAACATCAGATCAAAAATAAAAATCAACCAAAAAAAATGAGCAGCATTGGAACCGGTTACGATCTCTCGGTCACGACCTTTTCTCCTGATGGCAGAGTCTTCCAGATCGAGTACGCATCCAAAGCTGTTGACAACAGCGGGTGAGCCCTAAAAATCACATCTTTTTCCTTTTTACGTTTAATTTAATTTCTTGTTTGAATGTTTTTGATTTTTTTTGTTTGTTGTTGTTAGGACTGTTGTTGGGATCAAATGCAAGGATGGGATTGTTTTGGTGAGTTAGGGTTTTCTCTTCTCTCAGTTTTAACCTTAGCTGGGTTCACTTTTATTTTTTGTTTGATTATTAGATTTTTATTTTTTATTTTTGTTGGGGGTTAGGGAGTGGAGAAGCTGATCACGTCGAAGATGATGATGGCTGGATCGAATCGGAGAATCCACTCCGTTCATCACAACTCTGGAATGGTAAATTTATTTTGGTTTTTGTTTTTTTACTTTAAGATGGTTTTTTTTTGATACGTTTATGTTCTCAAAAAATGACCTTTATTGTTATTTCGGTTTCCTCTTTGTGCAGTTGCTGTATGTCAGTGAAAAATTTAGTTAGAGCTGCTTAGGATTGAGGTTTGTGGGGTTATAAATAATATGCGTAGAAAAGTTGCTAGTATTAGGAATCTGATTAAAGGATAGGCTGTATAGCTACAATTTCTCTGATTCTTAATCAAAAAAGGAAATAAATAAATAAATAAACAACAGTTTTCCTTGTATGTAGTAGAAAGCTTGTGCTTTTCTTACCAAAAGTGGCTACTGCTCTCCTTGCTATGTTTTTCTTTGTTGCTTGGACTGCAGATCATACGACGAATTCTCTCCTTCAAGGTCATTTAGTTTGTAATGTCTATGCTGTGCATAAACCTTTCCCGATACAGTCTTGTGAACCTGTTGAATTGTGGTTACTCATATTTGTAGCTTATAATTTTGGAAGCCAGTAGCTGATTTGGTAAAATTATAAAAACTGATTGTACTAGGATGACATGTCTTGGACAGGGAGGGATCTTTTTTGATAAACATGTGAGGAAAGAAAAAGGAGAAGGATGGGTACTAAAGGCTATTCTCTAGTTTGATTGATGGTCAGTAAATGAAGAAGAGATGTGTGGATGGGATAAATGCTCAGCAGCTTGGTCAAAGTACCTAACTGCTCCAGAAAATGAAATATTGCATGGTACCGGTTTTAATAATGACATGCACAATTTGGACGAAATACTTTGACAAAAGAATTCAATGAAATTTTGGCAGACCTTGATTTCTTTTTATAGTTCAATGTAGTAAGGGAGGAGTCTGTGTTAAATTCATGGCTAATTTGTATATAAATTCAAGGCTCCTCGGTTAGAGGATGCTTTCACTTTTCGGTACCTGAATTGATATGGATAACGATTTTGAGATGTATGCTTCTCGGAAATCCGGCTTTATTTGGATTGTCTGTATAATTGAGTACATCATTCTTATAAATGGGTCATTAATACTAGTTTGTTATCTGGTGCTGGCACATAATCCAGCTAGATGTTAGTGACAGTGACTGTTGGAAGTCAGCTTGGTGCTCCAGTTGAAGGATTTCCAAAGCTATGAAATTCTACATGAAAAAGAAATAATTAAGTTTGAATCCTCTTAATTTGTGTTTTCCTTTTATAACTTATGCATGTCACTGGTTTGGAAGGTTTGAAACTTGAAGGGCTTTTGATTACAAGTGTGCCTCTTCTCCAATTTTATACACATATATTGTGGAGCAATGTTGTGAGGAACATTCTGTGATTTTATATGCCAAACTGCCATAGTAATGTTACCGAGGTCATACCAAAAGGTTTGTCTGTTCATCATAGACTTTCCATAACCTAAAGTCATATTTTTCACACAGAATATATCAGAAGAGTATAATATGGACTTATATATGGTATTATAATATTAGAGATTCCATACAGGTCTAACAATGGTTTGGAGAAAATAACTGTGACTAAAGTTCATAAACATATGACGTGATCATTTTGAAAAAACCATCAGCAGTGAAGATGTCATAGACGTTATGACTTATGAGTGCTGAACTGGATAGACCAGGGTGCTTGTTCATAAGTTAGGAAAATATAACGAACTGAGTTTTTTGGACACTTTCACCTGATAACTTACTTGACGTACACGATGGGGATATATTCGTTAGCAGAAAAGAGGTCACACTAGGAATGGAATATTTCTTCTGAATGGCCATAAAAGACCTACATCATTTCTTGCAGACTTGTAACTGAATATAGAAGTTGAAGCCTGGGTAAGTACTGATATCCAATTTTCAGGCCTAGAAATATGCCATATAATATTATTATGCTATGCAATTTGCAGATTTGTAACTGCTCTTTGTCTTTGCATTACTGGATCTCCGAGCATTCTTATATGGGCCCCACTTTGGATGAGTGTGAACTGCAATAGGTTTGGAGCCATGCTTATTTTCTTCAATTTTATCCCTTTTTCATTAGGATACCTAAGTTGCATGGGTTCTTAAATCAAGGATATATAACTGTGTCCAGAACAGACCCTGATGCTTAGATAATTGATGAATACTTCCTGAATATTCCTGACATTCTATATGCATCCTCTGTGCATTGAAGACAAACATGAACCTGAGGCTAATAATAATAGGTTAAACATCTAGTTCATAAAGGCTTGGTTTATTTTTCATGTAACTTACACATGCATTTGTCTGATCTGGTCGACTTAATGAAGAACCATGAAATTCTAGTGACTTTTGATTTAAAACTATGACTATTAGTAGCTGCTGATCCATATAATACAAACATGCTTTTCATTAACTGAGTTATTGTGTTCGTTAGTCATTTTAACCTTGCAAATATAGGTAAATAGTTTGTAATTTAATAAGCCATGTTCACAGCATATTGGTATTCTACATTTCTAAAAAATTTTGTGTCTGCATAACTGTGTTCTGCTCTATTCTTATCCAGTATCCGTGTGGGTGCAACCATAATAGCACACTGTGATGATATCATGCATATAGGTTTTTGCACAGTGTGTATTATCAGTTTATCATATCACTGTGTGGATGATGATTATTGTCATCAGAGAAGGTTACACTGTATGATCTGTTTTCTCAAATTTATCCAAATTAAATTCTTTAAAAATTTATGATTAAAGGAGAAAACTGGTCATTTGTTCTCAAAATCAGCATCAGAGTTGTTTCTCACTGCTATCATTTATCATGAGGTACAGGCTGTGGCTGGTTTGGCAGCTGATGGCAGGCAAATCGTTGCACGAGCAAAATCTGAAGCCACCAATTACAATAGGTTTGCGCTTAGAGCATGTAGCATACACATTGTGTGCATGACCCTTTTCTTAAGTTTGCTCAACCTATCTGAGTAGATATTACCATTTTTCTCTATGAAAAGAAAAATGATATACCATAGTATGTACAGAACATATGGTGAGCCTATGCCTGTGAAAGAACTTGCAGATCGTGTTGCTAGTTATGTTCATCTTTGCACTCTCTATTGGTGGCTGAGGTATTTAATTGGTTTGTCTTGTTGATTGAACTCTTTAGATGGCCTATCTGTTTCTACTTAAACAATCACCTTTTATATTGCAGACCTTTTGGTTGTGGTGTTATTCTCGGAGGTTATGATAGAGATGGACCACAGCTGTTCATGGTTGAACCATCAGGAGTATCATATGTGAGTTCTGTATCTGGTAACCACATGACTCATCACCATTTATTATTATTGTTTGTAATTTCACCTTGTACCTACTGTTAGAATATTCAGATATTGATGGTGACTGGAGTATTAACTGTTTATTCATTTCTTCTATAATGCATAGTTAGATGATATAAATCTCCTTAATTATTATGATGTACTGCCATAGAGTTAACTTGTAATTTTGTCTTCACTTGATTATGATGTGCAGAGGTATTTTGGTGCTGCGATTGGGAAGGGTAGGCAAGCCGCCAAGACGTAAGTGATGATCCCCACTTCATCAATTGCTTATTTTCCAAATTTGCTGTTTACAATTTTGACTTTCGCGTGTTTATGATAGTGATCGACGTACTTTCTTTTTAGGCATATGACAGTAGGTGCATAATGGTGCACTGATGTACATCAATGTGTGTGACATCTTTGCTGATGCAATTTTTTCGCCCGGCTTGGTAGATTTAAATCTCATTATTTTATTTCTGTGTTAATGCTTATTTTTTAAATCTAAGAGATGCAAAAGGTGAGGAGTAGATCCCCTTGCTCCTGTAGGGCAAGAAGACTAAAGCACGGGACGCACACCTAGTGGACAAAAGGTGCCACTTTTCCATATCATAGTATCCTAAGAATAAAATAAAACTACAACAAAGACACGATCCTTGCCTTATTTTCTTTTTGATTACTTCTTCTTTGTTTTTTTTTTTCATTTCTTATTGTTGGGGGCATGTTGTATAGAGAAAGGATTTCGTAAAGTTTTTTGAGCTTGACTATGTGGGAAGAAATGCGGAAGAACTGGTATTGGTGAAGTAAAGCACAGGACACACACCTAGTGGACAAAAGGAGCCACTTTTCATAACTTAGTATCCTAATGAATAAAATAAAACTACAACAAAGAAATGATCGTTGCCTTATTCTCTTTTTGATTACTTCTTCTTTGGGGTTTTTTTTTTTTTTTTTGCATTTCTTATTGTTGGGGACATGAGATGTTGTTTTTTGAGCTTGACTATGTGGGAAGGAATGCAGAACTGGTATTGGTGAACCTTTGTCAGTAGTGAAAGGTACACTGGCAGTGTTACTTAGGATATATGAAGGGTGTCAAATATCTGTACGTCTAAGTTGCATGAAAACTGGTATGGGTACCGGTGCGGGTACGGGACTCGGCAAATTTGTGAAATATAGAGTACATGGACACGGCTACATTGATATAAAAGCTCTGATATGGTCTCCTAACTATATTCTTCAAAAGGGTTTATATTTTGTATTTATATATGCTGAGTATAACCAAAATACAAAAGAACAACGGTTTTGAGGCAACTTTAAGGGATGTGGTATGCCTCACCTTACTTTAGACCTATCAGCCTATGACAATTCGTTGATGATCTATGACCATTGTTGTAATAAGACCACTAAAGACCGCCTAAGCCCCCATTTTGCTACACCATTTTTGGAAGACTTTAGCCTCTTCATTAAGATTTAAATTTTTTTCTACACTGTATGTTTCATCTGCCTTTGTTGATATTTATGGTTTTGATTAAAATTTAGCATGAATTACTTATTTGACTTCTTTATTATACAAATCCTTTGTATTTTTCTCCTCCTATTTTCTTATTTTCTATTGCTTTCTAGTTTTTTGTTTGTTTGCGTTAGTCTGTGACACTGTTTATAATTTAATTGACTGATCTTAGTTGCTGCAGATTTCTTATTGTTGGCTTTGAAATTGAGTGATTTTCATTCTTATCAATGACATCATCTAGTTGGTGTTGTACTGCAGGGAAATTGAGAAGTTGAAGCTATCAGAAATGACTTGCAGGCAAGGAGTTATTGAAGTTGCTAAGATGTAAGCAATCCTGCTTATCCTACATTCTCCCCTGATGAAAAGCTATTAAATGTTTAACTAATTTTATGATGATCATCTATCACAAATGGAATGCATTAAAAATTATCTCCTTTATGATCGATTGACTAATTGACACTTGTCCAAATGCTTCAAAGATGAATCATGAGTAATTTAATTACTGTATTGGGGGAAAATGTTAAAATGAAAAAATGATATGTGTCAAATACGTTTGTGTTACTCTTTTCTTTTTGTAATTTCTGTAATATAAGATAGTTTGAATTCCAGCTGCTTTCTGTATACTGCTGTTGGATAATGTTTGTTCAGTAATTTATAGCTTACGTAAACTGCTAGGCAACCCTAATAAACCCTTTCTGTGCATACACATCTAAATAAACACATCGAAGTTGCAGGCACACATTTGTTGATGATCACTTCTAATGTTTGTTATACCATGTTGTAGAGTATAGGGCTTATCCATCACAAACTAGTAGATTATGAATGCTCACAGACTAGTCGAATATGAATGCAAAATGTATTGGATTCTAAAGTTGCATTTCTTGCGTCTCAATGAGACCTGAGATCTCGAGTATATTAGAGCTTCAGCTGTATAATGCACTAAAAAATAGAAAAAAATAATTCAGTCTGAGTGCAATACCCACTGTAGCACTGTAATGCCTCATCCTGATTGTGCCATGCTATTATAACCTATTCCCCATAGAAAATTAAGGTATTTTTTTGAGATATTAGTCTTGCAAATCTTTCATATTTTGAAAATAATCCTCAAATTCTTGATATTTTGAAATTAGTCCCCCAAATCTTCATATTTTGAAGTAAGTGTTTTAAATATTTTAAATTTAGTTCTTCTAGGTAGTAGATGGTTGAAAGATTTGGGAGGCTAATTTGAAAACACTTGAAATATTTAGGGACATTTAAAAAACATGAAGATTTGGGGGACCAATTTCAACACACAAAGCATTGGGGAACTAATTTCAAAATATTAAATTTTGGGGACTAATTTCAAAAAATGGAAGATTGT